CTCTATGATTGAGATATAGCCATTTCCAATATTGAACTCCGCATCGGATAGAAGATAACCAGTCAGTAGTCGGAAGAGATTACTCTTAGCCAATTAGCATGATTGATTATTACCCATATAGCGCACTCACAACTGAAAAATGCAAAGCGTCTTTTAAGCCACCACGTCTCGAACCCGAGATCAGCCCACTACGATAAGTACTAATCCACGTCCGGGTACGCTCGCATATGATAATTCAAAGATTGACAAATGTGATAAAAGAATACCTTGAAACTATTTTTAAAAAGTAACGGGATTATCCCAGTAAACTTTTTATTTACATGGTTACTTAGCAATTTTACATAAAGTTCTCATAAAATGGACACTTCCAGAGAACGTTGAGAAATTCAGATAATATAAGCAAGTTGATCAATTGCTTCAAAAGTTAAAAGTTGAATTTGTATTGTCGACTGAGTACAACTACCATATATTGATGTTTGCTATCAGAAGAAAAAAAAGTATTATTATACACGTGAATAATTGCAGAAAAGAGTAAACGAAAATATTGAATTTCATAGTTGAAAAATTCTCTCGTTGTTTCGGGTTGTCATTTCTTTCACAGCACGCCCGCGACTTCACCCTCTCTAGATAGTTAATCATATTTGTACCCATCACGTCCAAGATAAAATATTTTTGACATTAACTGTGTCATTTATAACCGCCACGCTCCCTCAAGGCCCACTTAAACTACAGATTTGTTAGGGAGTCTTCTTCTCCGCGTGCCACGTGAAGAGAAGGCTGTCCTGATATGCCACCACACAAAACACCTTCCGTTACGTCATGCTTTATAGAACATTCGTCTTTTGTTGTCCCTATAGCAACTCCTGTCACGTGATAGCTTATGGTGATGCCGTTAGAGATCGGTGTCATCGACGGTAATATAGTCAATCGGTCCTTGTCGGTTTCACCCCACGTGAGAAAATCGTCGACAAACATACATGAAGCTCAGATAATGCCTTTATCTATATTGTAGTTTCTTTACAGCGATGCGGATTAAGTTACAACGGTAGCTCATCAAATGCTTTTCCTATTGAATGTGTTTCTGTTTGTTACACCTTATGCGATTGTGTTCCATAAAACAGTAAAACATTTTGGAAACTAGTACGACAAAACAAGAAAGGCAATGACTTGGATTTCTGATAGTAGCAACAATCTTAGAGTTAATTTAAAAAAAAACTAAATAATTCTACAATTATTAATATATACTTAATTTGTTACAAAACTGATCAACAAAATTTAAATCGCCGTCCACAAGCGGTTTAATATTTACAAAATGTTACCTACTAGTAAGAAACTGCTTTGGTTTAATCCTTACAAAATTTTACCTACGAGTAAGTAACTGCCTTGGTTTAATCCTTATAAAATTTTACCTACGAGTAAGAAACTGCCTTGGTTTAATCCTTACAAAATTTTACCTACTATTAAGTAACTGCTTTGGTTTAATCCTTATAAAATTTTACCTACTAGTAAGAAACTGCCTTGGTTTAATCCTTATAAAATTTTACCTACTAGTAAGAAACTGCCTTGGTTTAATCCTTACAAAAGTTTACCTACTAGTAAGAAACTGCCTTGGTTTAATCCTTACAAAATTTTACCTACTATTAAGAAACTGCCTTGGTTTAATCCTTATAAAATTTTACCTACTCGTAAGAAACTGCCTTGGTTTAATTCTTACAAAATTTGACCTACTAGTAAGAAACTGCCTTGATTTAATCCTTATAACATTTTACCTACTAGTAAGAAACTGCCTTGGTTTAATCCTTACAAAATTTTACCTACTTGTAAGAAACTGCCTTGGTTTAATCCTTATAAAATTTTACCTATTAGTAAGAAACTGCCTTGCTTATCTGGAAGAAACTAAAGTAATAAAGGTTAAAAAGCAAGAGCAGTATTTATAAAAAATAAAATTTTGTTCTAATTATTAAAAGATTCATTACCTTCCCCTGGTGCGAAGCTTCTTTTTAGCACTCTCAATAATCACTTTATTTTCTTTCTTACGTTTAACAATGATACTTTTTTGTAAAATATAAATCTGTAGTTTATATATGTGACGTCATACCGTTAAAATACCACTTTCATCTAGTAATTAACCTATTCCGCTTATGGTTAGCATATGGACATTGGCATAGCAACCAGCTGGTTATTGTGAAGTTTGAGCTAGAACGAAATTCCACGAGTGATTGTATAGATAGATAATTAGCCAAACTTTTACTATTCTATACTTATTAATTATGTATAATGGCTTGGGAGATTCAAGTATTATATTTTGACTCTCATAATAAACACAGTAAGATGAAAAGTGCTTGTACTCCAAGGGGTTTTCGAGTACAATACTACTTTTTTCAGTAGCTTAACTAAATTATTTTATATTGTCTGTGTTGGGACTAAATGATCCCCTGTGCCTGTAGGATATTTAACATTAGGATACTAGTAGTAACAGCAGACTAATGATACTATAGATTTTGTCACTTGTAAGCAAAGACTGGCCATACCTATTCCAAATGAAATGTGAAGTCAAGTGAAGTCATTTTGGTCTTAAGCATAACAAAGACTGCTTGGGGCCTCGGAGTCTTCGCACTTGTGAGTAAAAACAATACTTAAGTTTCAAATTCATTATTTTTCTCTCTATATTAAAAGTGCAACAAAATGGGCGATGTTTAATATTTCAAAATAAAAGTTAGGCAGCTAATGTGAGTCTTAATTGAAAAAAAAATAATTATGGCCTTACAGCTTATTCTACTCCGTAGCCATCGTTACAACTTCTGTGTTGTTAAAGATTTTTTTTTTTCAAATCTAAATTAGGAAACGTAACTTTTTTAAATATGATTTTTCTCGTAATATTGTAGGTGGAACACTTGAAAAATAAAAAAAATTGAGAGTTTTTATGCTACTTTTGTTAGAAGGAAGTGAAATACTTAATATTAATATTTTTAGGCTTAGCTTTCAGCAATAGCCTAAATTACACGTAGGCTAAGAGCTGTAAATTAATGTAAAATAAAATAGTTTGGTATGTAATAATTAGTAATATTTTAGCTTGCTATTTAATTAGGTGCTATTTATAACATTTACTTTAGAAAATTTTTATTTGAAATTACATATATATTGTTATAAACTATATCTTTTAATGTTGTAATTTAGATGTTAGCTGGATGGCCCATTACATGAAGATCAAGTTAGTCTTAGACTAGTTTTGCAAAGTAGCTAGAATACGAGTAGAGTTAAATACGGGGTCAACGAAGCATCGAGAAAACAGTTGAGGGATAATTAAGAGATAGTTAAGTAAGCTCGTAAAGAAACGGTGAAGCTGGATAGTTGTTTTCCAGCTGGTAAGATAAATCAGGCCGTGTGTTTACGTTTCCGGATCTGTGTTAGCTATCGCGCATATTGAGTTACTTTTTACAAGTAAGTTGATTTTTGCGTCAATGTAGTGCAAAAACTGTGACTCTAAACGCAGGTCTACAGCAAGTTACAAAACGTTCAAACCTGTAAAGAAGCGTTAATAAGGAAATTAAACTGTTACGTGTACTCGGCAATGAATTATCTTAACTAGATAATTTAAAAGAACAATGTTACAACAATGTATTCTGTCAATGAAAGCTTACTCCATCTACCGGTGGTTCAGCGCTAACGCTAAAAATCGAGATTTGATACACGCGGTGGGCACAGAAAAACTAGCCCATTGTGTAACTTTGCACTTAACAACAACAACAACAAATATTACATACAAATTTTCAATTCAAAGAACGTAAGCTATTTCATGTGGATTACGTACCGATGAAACCAGTAGCCGAACTATTTGGCAGTAACGAATAATAAAATATCTCAAGAACAATACAAGACTGTTTTTAACTGTATAGATATTAATACTAACTACAGTTAGCATTATAATGTTTGAAAAACAAACAAACAACAATACAAGATTGTTTTAACTGCAGATATATTAATACTAACTACAGTTAGCATTATAATGTTTGAAAAACAAACAAAGAACAATACGAGATTGTTGTTTAAAACTCATAACGTAGGTAAATTAATATGTTGAATTATACACCAACATTTATCTACCTTAAAATACATTTATTTGCATACTTTCGGCCCTCTTACCGGAGCCTTCATCGGGCAACAATGTACATTATATTTAACACAAGTTTAATGAGCGTTGAGTGCGGTAAACGTAATCAAACAGTACTGACACAATATGTACTGTTCGTACATTGTTATCGTTATATAACAATTAAAATTATATGAAAATAACAGAACCCGTGCAAACTAAAAAACAATAAATTACAAAAGGTGAGTGATTTAAAAAAAACTTAGTAAGTAAGTAAAACAGTACAATGGCAAAAAAAAATCAAAATTATATTAATCTACCAAGAGGTTACTGTAAACAACAAAACAAAACAAAAAACGCGAACACAAATACAAGACTATCAATTAAAATAAGTTCAAGAAACAATGCGTTGCATATTTTTGTGTAATAATGCGTTTTGAAAATTTCCAGTAAGCTTGCCTGGCTTAATTGTTTTTGATAATGTGTTAACATACCTTTTCTAAGCTGACAAAGTATGATTATAATTAATTATACTTGTCATAAGACATTAGTATTAGGCCTATTATACTTTTAACACCATATTCTTTGTTCAGTGCCTTCCAGTCCTTCAAAAAGAATTAGAATGTACAATAGTATATCAACCTTATAATAGGTCTAGTACTAATGTATTGTTTTTGAGTAATACGTGTTTGACATGTGGCAATCAAATACAAAGTCAATTCACGTGAATAACGCAGTTTTATTAAACTAAGCTTCGTATATTTATTATATATTTTCGTCTATCCACACCATTATTACAAAAGAAAAAGTACTAACCTAATTATTCTCTTGCTTAGGTCTTATTTTCAATTATGATATCTTACCAACTACTGACTCTCTTTAAAATAAAAGTAAATTAAATGTGAATTACCTGTCTTAGTAAGGCGAAGTGGATGAGATTCTGGGTTCAGCTGGCATGACTTGGTAGCGACACCTGACAAAATACAAAACATTTTCCTACTATAGATATTTTACTTCAAGATATATTTTTTGTAGAAAACCAAAATTAACTCGTTAGGAAATAATAATGGCATCTTTGTAGTACAAATGCATTAAGTATTAAAACACACCATGGTTTATTTGTTGGATTTTGCGCAAAGTTACACGAGAAATATCGGAGGTAGTCGTCCCCAATTTTGAAGTGATAGACAAGAGGAAAGGCATACCCAATGCCAACTTTTGGGCTACTGTTGTCAGGCCGAATAATGGGATTTAACTGTTACTATTATAACGCACTTACGGCCGCACTCACCATGGGGACTAACTCACTTTATGAATGTACAAATTAATACATTAATCACCTGCCTATCAGTTATATATATATATTCAAACATTTTTTAATTAGCAAAATCAGTTGAACGAGAGTCATGATACCGGCTAAACCATATTGTTTTTATTAATTGCTACCTAATGATATCAGGAAAGAAACTATTTACTATTGGTTGTTTAATATTAAACGGCTCGGATAACACGTTTTTTAAGGGTAAAAAGCCAAAGTCTGGGTTTAAAAACTGGTTGTTATTTGTTTAGTTTTTATATATTTACAAATGCTATTTTACACCACTAGTTTCTATATGAGCCAGTAACTACACAGATACAGTACAAAAGTAGCTCGGTCCATGTCCTGATTGCGATGTACAATAACGATAGAGGAGGTGACAAAAAAAATGATATATTATGGGCTGCTAAAAGCTAGTTAGATTTTTACGTTTCGCAGACATAGTAAGAAAGACAGGGTTTTAAGAAGTTTGAGTATATCTGACAAATTCATATTGATTTAAGACGGTTTAACTTACGTTAAATGCAAATATTAAATAAAGTATCAAAATCTTTTTTTTATTGTTTCCGAGTTTTGGATAAATATTTTAATGTAAGTTATAGTTGGAAAATAAGTTGTGTTTTTGTAGTTTCTTTTTTTTTAAATTTTTCACAAGGACCTTTTACCACCTAATTATTGTGATTCCTAAATATATACTTGAATAGCATAGCTTCACGCACGCATGCGCAGATAACCTTCTACCAAGCACGTGCCATTGCAAGTATTTTTTCCTCTTCTCGTGAGTTAACCATGGAATTACGACCCAGTTGGCAGCCGATTCCACGAGACTGTCTCGTGGCAGCCATTAATTGGACGCTTACAAAGCTAATGAATTAAAAGCTCGTGAAGGGGAGGTTCCTAGCGAGATGCGCTTGTTACTGCTACTGAGAGCGTTGGTCTGATTAGGAAAAGAATTACTGCTGACTCAATTCCCTTCCATTACCGTGCACATATTTCTGGTTTAGTGCATTTCGAAAGATTAAGCTCGAAAAACGCTAAATGAGCGATTAATGACTATACTGCGTGTAACAAAATATCATTTTCCCCACTGAGACAAGAATAGGTTTAATTCAGAAAGCCAATAATATATCAGTCTCACACGTTGGCAGCAGTTGAAAATACATATATATATTTATATAGAATCTATATAATAGATATAATGAGACATTTTTTTAAAAGTTCCGGTTTACGTGTTTCCTGTTTTATTTTTCGACATTTCCGTAAAAAAAAAATAGTTCATCTTAAAAAATTAAAACAAAAAAAAATCACAACGACATTAGACATTTAACCAGTGTCTGGTATTGCTAAACAAGGGTTACCAGTGCTACCCGTCCCTAATTTTGAACTGATAGACAAGATGGGAAGGCACCTAGTCAATAGCACTCATCAGGAAATCATAGTGCGATTTGAACTATACTCTTACAACCCACCAACGACCTCAAGATGCAAAGTGCGATTTGAACTATACTCTTACAACCCACCAACGACCTCAAGATGCAAAGTGCGATTTGAACTATACTCTTACAACCCACCAACGACCTCAAGATGCAAAGTGTGATTTGAACTATACTCTTACAGCCCACCAACGACCTCAAGATGCAAAGTGCGATTTTGTGGCAACGGGATGCAGTCCGGCACGCTAGCTAATAGGTCACGCCTGGTTCGTATTTAAATAGATACATTTCACAGGTACATCGGCTAGTAAATCAAAACTATTCTTTTGTTGTTCTTGTTGTTACCTCAACAACCAACCCATTGACAAAGGAAATATGGGGAGACTATTGTTGTTGTTGTTGTTTGCTATTAAGCATAAAGGTACACAAAAGTCTATCTGTGCTCTGCCCACCACGGGTATCGAAACTCAGTTTCAGCGGTATAAGTCCGCATACATACCGCTGTACCACTGGGGGGGGGGGGCATATGAGGAGAGAAAATTAATTTATAAGAAAAATTCATTTGGCATTTTTCCATTTATCGCTTCATTTGAAGCCTTCAATTCATAGTTATAATCATGGTGTGGAATGCTTAGTTGAAATATTACTAACCAAATGTACCGGGGGGAGGGAGGAGAACGTTATGTCTATGGACTTACAACGCTAAAACCCGGGTTTCGATTCCCCGCGATGGACACATCAGATAGCCCAATGTGGCTTTGCTCTAAAATAAAAACTAACCAAGTGATGTTAGTTTCACGCCTGTATGCTGACGACAAACAAAAATGTCAGATAATGATCAGAAGTTTGAAATCTATTTTCTGAATAATGATAATAAAATTACTCGGTGCAAGTGGCTGTGACGAGCCATTTATTTAACAATAAATTAGCCGTTAGAAAACAACATTTTGTAATATAAGTAACCAGAACAGTCCTGGGGAGGAGGAGGCAATGAGACACATTGGATAAAATATAAAATTAGATTAATGGATGGTATTAGCTTGGTGAAGCAACGATATTTCATGGGGACCTAGCCTCCTCCCTCGTCAGCGCCAGCAACACCAACTCTTAGGGAGTAAAAACTTGAAAACTAGTTGAGATTTAAGCACAAGAAGCTTCTTAAATGTCACAAACCAGGAAAAACACGACTCCCGTCAGGTCGTTCAGTCAGAGAAGTCATAAGCACAATTGGTTAGCAAGGTTTCATGTTTACTCCCGTCAGGGCGAGGAGACGGGGGATATTTCCCCAGGACCCATTGTCCACCTGGGGGCCCGTGAGAACGGCAAAAACAAAAAAGTGTACGGAATGTATCAAATCAGTACGGAACGTTTAAGCAAACATTAAACGCACCTTCAATCATTCATGCGTGTACGCGGCAATTCTAAAACCTATTCGGGAGAGGGGGGGGTGGAGGTATTATTCCCCGGACCACATGATGCTTCTCGGCGGCCCTGGTTTCAGTTACGATATTTTCAATTTCAAAATGCTTCGGATGTTATCTAGTCAAGAGAAATCCCACGAGTTGTGGTAGTGGGAAAAAAAAAACACCGCTCCCGCTAGATCGTTCAGTCAGAGAGTTTCAAAACACGATTGTTTACGAAAGCTTTATGCTTATTTCAGTCTTACTTTGTCGATCCATACATATATCGTAGAGTAAGTAACTCGTTTTGTACATCTTATCAAATTAATCCAGTCATGGGATTCTGTGTATTAAACCAGTCATGGGATTCTGTGTATTAAACCAGTCGTAGGATTCTGTGTATTTCAATAGCTTAGGTTTGACTGCACTTACATATTGCATGATAACTGTATGATTTCGATATGAATATATACACCTCAAAGCCTGAAATTTCTTTTATTTAAATTTGTTTTTTGTTTTGAATTACGCGCAAAGCTACTCGAGGGTATTCTGCGCTTGCCGTCCCCTATTTAGTTTGTTTGTTTGTTTGTAATTTAAGCACAAAGCTACACAAGGGCTATCTGTGCTCTGCCCACCACGGGTATCGAAACCCGGATTCTAGCGTTGTAAGTCTGCAGACATACCGCTGTGCCACTGGGGTGCTTAAAAGACAGAGAGATAGAAATACAATACGTAAGATCTCGTAATAGGTGGTATTAAACCTATTTACATGAATGCTGTTGATAACCAAATTTTGATTAAGTTGATAATAAAGACAAAAAATCATAATAAATTTCTAATTAGCTTGGTTTTTAAATGTTACAGATATATAGTACGAGGAGCTTACTTTGAAAATAAATCAGATTTTAACTCTAACTATTATCCGTTTCTATTGTCTCCCGATGAGACAGTGGTAACTCTTAGCTTGGTTTTTAAATGTTACAGATATATAGTACGAGGAGCTTACTTTGAAATTAAATCAGATTTTAACTCTAACTATTATCCGTTTCTATTGTCTCCCGATGAGACAGTGGTAACTCTAAGAACTTACAACGCAGGAAATCCAGGGTTCGATTCCCCGCGATGGAGACAACAGATAGCACAATATGGCTTTACTCTGAAATAACCAAACCAGTTTCTATTTCAGGTAATTTTACAATTTCCGTAGTTTTTGTTAAATGTATAAGCATTCTTCTTTCATATTTTTCGTGTTTTTTTTGTGTCTTCTTGTTGTCATATACTAGATGGATTACAGTAAAAATGTATAAGTTATTTAGAACATATTGTATTATCTAGTGTGTGAATAGAATAGAATTTAATTACAACATTAAAAAAATATATATTGCTGGCAATCATTAAATACAAAAAGTCTCGAGCGGTTCAATTTTTCAAGAAAAGAACCAAAGAGGGAAGGAAGCTAGTCAAAACCACCCACCAACAAATCTTGGGCTACTCTTTTACCAACGAATAGTTGCATTGGCCGTCACATTATAACACCTCCACATCTGAAAGTTGTTTCTTATTAAGCACAAAGCTACACAAAGGAGTATCTGTGCTCTGCCCACTACGGGTATCGAAACCTGGTTTCTAGCGATATAAGTCTGCAGACATACCGTTGTGACATTTGGGGAATTGTGGAATTGATCGTCACATTATAATGCCCTCACAGCTGAAAGGGCGAGCATATTTGGTGACGAAGATTCGAACTCGCGATCCTCAGATTGCGAGTGGAGCTCATAATCCACTAGGCCATGCCAAGCCCAACTTACAACGGATCACCGACCGTAAGGGTAAAAGTGACTGTGTTTGTTTGTAATTATACACAAAGCTACACAATGGGCTATCTGTGCTCTGCCCACCACGGGTATCGAAACCCAGTTTCTAGCGTTGTAAGTCCGCAGACATACTGCTGTACAACTGGGGGGGGGGCAAGTGACTGTGTACCTTTGATTTATAGTAAGTTATTTTCAACCAGTTGGGTCTTATTTACAACACTCAAGATAATTCATTCCAAAATAAAGATGCTTTATGTTCAAATAAGGATACTCTACATTTTAGTGTCTTTTCTATATCAAAAGATAATGTAAATTAATTTAAATATGTTATCGTAGATATCGCAATTTCAACAATCGTAGAAAAAAGATCCAATAATTGAAAGGTATAATTACTGATAGTTATTACTTGTTTAACGAGCAAAAAGTTTCATGTCAATATTCGACTAACAGGTGTATTGAACAAAAATGTATTTCAAATGCTAAGCGTTTAAGTATTTCTACTTTTGTTTTTTAATAAATAAAAAGTATGTTTGCGAGTTCAACAGATGGCGCTAAACATGAATGAGAAAATATAATACAAATGGTTAATTTCTGAACATTTTGAAATATGTATCCAATGATCTTAATGTTTTCTCTACATATTCTACTAACTAGAGAATTGAAATATTGTAACTTTTAAGCATATAATACTAAAAATGTTACATGCGATAATTTAATGTTTGAAACTGCTTATAATCATGGAAACTCGCTATACTAAACAAATTTTGAAACATATTTTTCCTTGTGATAATATATTGATATGCAACATTTTAATCATCTTAAGTGACGTTATATGCAGTTTATTAGTGGTTCTGGTGATCTAAAGGATTTTAAGTTTATTACATGAAATTCTATTTTGGAAGTCCAGATAACCAAAGTCGTATTGAACTTTTCGAGACCTGAAATCTTAAAGCGAAGCTATGCTTCTATTTATATTAATGATACTGTGTGTTTGCCATAACCGTTTAAGCGTTCCATTGACCTAGAAGACAGACCTGTTGCCCTGATAACTTACGTTGCAGCAAACTTAAAACGTGAGGCGCACAACTAAGCCTACTTCTGATAATCATGTGTTAACTTTTAAAGAGGTCCTATGATGTATATGACACTGTTGTTATATGAAAGTTATGATGGTCAAAATGGCAGACAGTTTTTAGATGCCCGATCCACAAGACAACTATCTTTTTATATTATTTGAAAATCTAAGTAGTAGTCAGCTTCAAAACTCTTAATGACTCTTAATGTGCCTTATGTTGGATATCAAAATTAGTCAACTTCTAAATGGCATGATAAGCCATATGACAGATGTTTCAAGTGATTTGCTGAACTGGATAGTAGTCAGCTTCCTACTGATTTATTTTAAAAAATTTTCTAATCTAAAACGACATTAACGTTAACTACTCTTAATGACTCATGTGGTTGTCTTGATTACTGAGAAGGCACTCAATGTTTTGGTGTCTTTGGAACCCAGCGACCTCTAGTTTTGGTTTTATGCTAACATAAGTTATCGTCTACGTTAACTTTTCAATACGGCAGAGGTGGTATAAAAATGATATTTTTTTCATGATATATTTGTTTACCAAGATGGAAGCCAAATCTCAGGTGTCTTGACGATATAAATGTGTGGTTCCTCTTCTTAATTTGCTTCATGTTTATAACTGGGGTTTTGATAATTTGCTTCATGTTTATAACTGGGGTTTTGATAATTTGCTTCATGTTTATAACTGGGGTTTTGATAATTTGCTTCATGTTTATAACTGGAGTTTTGATAAAGATAAGTAAACACGGATTTGAAGTAAACAAATTATCCAATGCCGACCTCAGTTCTAAGAATAAAGATTGTGTATCAAGATAACACGTGTGGTTTGCTAACTATCCTTAGTTCTTTAAGTGATATAAAACAAATGACAGTATTTGTAAACTGTGCCTCCAATGAAAAATATATTATTTTCTAAAACTTACCAGAATGCAAACTGAAAAAATTCTATACAAATTAAAAAACTCCAAACATGAATTGGTTCTAGAACTCATCAGAATGTGGGCTGAAGGAGACATTATGGGTAAATTTTTCATTATTATGAGCTTTTATCAAAACTACACTTATAAACATGGAACAAATTAAGAAAGAGACTCACAAGTAAATTAAAAAAATAATTGACTGTTTTTATATGAGATATTATGAGTAAATTTCAAAAATGGCAGGTTATAAAACTTATCAGAATCTGGACTAACAAAGTAATTATGATTAAATTTAAAAGTAAAGTTACCGTTTTTAGTAGGAATCGCCAGAACACGGAATGAAGAAATCACTGAGCTCAAATTACATCTGAACGATTTGAATCAAAAACTAAAAATTGTCATGTTAACTCAACAATTAAACAAAGTGTAAACTTTCAGTAAACACATATTTTAACAGTAAAGTTAGATGAAAAGATATTTACCTGAACAAAGTGGTGGGGTTATGGTTGGTCCACTCAAAAGATTATCACGTGCTTCTGGAGGAAGAGAGGCATCAGACGCTGTAAAAAATGACAAGTAATGTTTTCTTGCCAGAATGCTAGAAATGTGTAGTTATCTTAATATATATATATATATATATATATGCATTTGTCTAGAGTTCGTGCGTTATAAGCTAGGCCTACAGGAGATCGATCTCAGCTCGTCGTGACGGAAGGCTAGCCTTAAGCCGATTAGGCTAATAATTATTCAGAAACGTTGATAAATTGTTGTGGCTTGTGTGACATATAATACTTGGGTATGAAAGTACTTTCGTGTAATTATCAACCTAATCGGCTTAGTAGTGATTTACTGTAATGGCGAACAGAGTTTGATCTTTTGTAGGCTTAAAATGTGTGTGTGTTATAAGCTCAAACTTTTGAGTACATTCTTAACAAATATGTTTTTACAAAGTGTATTTACAAATTAAATTATTTTGAAGATGAAGAAATCCAGATGAAACGATATTTGAAATACAACTAAATAAATTTTCCCTTTAACTTTTTTTCGCCAAAGGTTTATTTGTTTTGTTTTGTAAAGCTGTACAAAATAATTTTTACGTTGTGCCCACTGTACGAATCGAACCCCAAATTTTAACGTTTCAAACTCTCAAATTTACCTCTGAGACACCTGTAGTATTTCATTTAAAGTCTAAAAACGTTTTAAATCATCGCGCTTAAGCCTCGAGTATATATATATTTAATTAATAAATATTTTGAAGTTTTTTCTCGAGTTCTTTGTTCTAAACATTTTTCTCAGGCATTTAATAAAATCAATATGCAAAGATGGCCTGGTAATTATGCCACTCGACTCGCAAGCTGTGGGTCGCGGGTTCGAATCCCGTCATCAAAATGCTCGTCCTCTCAGCCGTGAGAGCGTTATAATATGACATCCAACCTCATTTTTCCTTGGTAAAGAGTAGCCCAAGAGTTGGCGGTGGGTGGTGGTGACTAACTTCTTTCCCTCTACTCTATCACTACTAAATTAGGGACGGCTAGCGTAGGTAATTTTCGGGTAGCTTTGCACGAAATTGAGCAAACATGTAGGGAGAGAAGAAATTGAAAATAGTATTACATTTTATACCCAAGAGAAGATGCATGTACTTTGTTAGTTATAACTGTTATGGTATAAACAAGTGGGTGACCTGTATTACTGAAGTACAAGTACTGAAATATCACTTTTAATGCCCCCCCCCCCCCCAGTGGCACAGCGGTATGTCTGTGGACTTACAACGCTAGAATCCGGGTTTCGATACCCGTGGTGGGCAGGGCACAGATAGCCTATTGTGTAGCTTCGTGCTTAATTACAAACAAACATATTTCACTGCCCTCAGTGGCACAGCGGTATGTCTGTGGACTTACAACGCTAGAATCCGGGTTTCGATACCCGTGGTGGGCAGGGCACAGATAGCCTATTGAGTAGCTTCGTGCTTAATTACAAACAAAAAAAATCACTTTTAATAAATGGACCGTAGCTAGGAATAAAAACAACTGCAGTTGACGAAAGAAGGTAAGTAGAATTGTAGGTTATATTATATTAAGTGGAATGTGAATCAAAAATAAAGGTTGAGAATTCACTTCAAAAGAATGGCTTAGGTATAGGTTATCAAACTCCTTATGCATAGTTTTATCCCGTGGTAACTCCTTGACATCTTACCCTTTTGTTTTGTTGCTTGTTTAAACCAATATAATTGCCGAATAACTAAATAATTTACTGAAATTAATGATAAATTGTTGATTATCTGTGTAAACAATGGTTTAAGAATATGTCGTTGACAAAGAACTTTGCTATATTTGATTTTAAAAGCGGACATTTCAAAGCTGCAAGTTCATTTGTTTTTTTCCCACCCATAACGTGTAGACTTGCTGTCTGCAAAGTCGATATCTAAATCTATAAAATGAGCCTTATCGAAAGATGGCTTCTGTAATGGATAAATCTTAGTAGTATTTGACATTATGAAATTACTCCATCAAGATATCTGAATGTATTATGTTTGCCAGCACGACAACAGTTGGAGGTCAATTCACAACATATTATATCAGAAAACAGTTTTCCTTTATATCAGATTCATAAAAGATGTGGGATAGAGCATCTTATGATTCTAAAAACTTCATGATTTCCAGTTGAGGCTACAGAGAATCGAAATTGTTTTTGTCTCCATAATAATTCTGTACTAAACCGATACAGTTGGGCCAGGTATAATCCAGTCGCTGGTGTGCCAAGTTACGGAACAGAAGATCCAAGGCTCGAGCCACGATATGCCACTCCAAATTTTCAGTTTTGCAAACGTTTTAATTGTGATATACACTATCCTACCAAAAATCATGGGACGCACCTCTCATTGCAGGAAAATGGGTGTGACGACGAAATAAGCAAATAGTTTGGCCTATAAAGGTGATCAGCGGTTCGCTCGGAAGTCGTTTCGAACGATGAGTACACGGAAAGAGCCAATAGAGTTTTAGAGGGGAACGTTAGTTGGATGTCATTTGGGGAAAATGTCTGTACGTGCTATTATGCAACAATTGATCATTTCCAGGTCGACAATTGGCAACGTGCTGAAGAAATGGAAGTCCACAGGTGACAATGAGCCCAAGAAACGACCAGGTAAGCGTAAAATACTGACTGATAGGAGCCGACGCGCCTTGAGAAGGCTGGTTACCTCATCTCGTCTTCAGACCCTAGAGAATCTGTGTTTGGAGATGCAAGCAGCCACAGGTAATCCTATAAGTGTTTCCAAGACACGTCGAGAGCTGCATGCCCTGAATTTTCACGGAAGAGCTGCAACCCACAAGCCATTGATAACAAAAACAAATGCACACCGTAGATTGGCATGGGGCAAGGCACACCGAACCTGGACCATGGATCAATGGAAATTGGTCCTGTGGAGCGACGAGTCACGCTACATGTTCTTCCAGTCTGATGGACGCGTTTGGGTATGGAGGATGCCTGGAGAACGCTTATTACCTGAGTATGTCCTCCCAATAGTGAAGTTTGAAGGTGGCGGTATCATGGTCTGGGGGTGCTTCTCGTGGTATGGACTAGGTCCACTGGTCGCAGTGCATGAATCCATGAATGCTGAGTCCTACCTTGATGTTCTGAACAATTTTGCGTGTCCTACATTGTGGCAATTTTATGGTACCGACCTTTACACTTTCCCACATGATAACGCCCCATGTTGCAAAGCAAGGAATGTGAACGCGTGGTTTGAAGAAAATAACATCGGAACACTGCAGTGGCCAGCACAGAGCCCCAACCTCAACCCGATAGAACATCTTTGGGGTGAAATGGAATTCAGAATTAGGGCAAGGCCAAGATGGCCCTCTTCAGTAGTGGAGATTACTAATGCTTTAAAGGAGAAGTGGAGCACAATACCACTAGCTTTCTACCAGAAATTAGTAGAAAGTCTTAGGTGGGTCTCTGACCTGGTCATTTTGCCCATATGTCGAATAAGGTGTCATTCACTTCCATATACTCAAGAATGTTTGAAATAAGCTACTATATACATACAGATCTTTCAAACCAGGTTTCTGCGTAATTCTTAGCGTAATCGGTCTTTCTATCAGCGCAATGTTTGTTTGTTTGTAATTAAACACAAAGCTACACAATGGGCTATCTGTACTCTGCCCACCATGGATATCGAAACCCGGATTCTAGCGTTGTAAGTCCGCAGACATACCGCTGTGCTACGGGGGGGGGGGCTATCAGTGCAATAAGTCGGTTACTTGCTCTGTAGGCCTAGCACACATACACACAAACTCTGAAGTTCAGTTATTTTATTTACACGACTATTAAGACAGTAAAATATCATTAACAACCCGTAATATTCGGAGTTTTGTAGGGTTATATATACTTGTAAAAAACTGGCATTTCACGAGCAAAGTAATGACAGTATTACTAAGCATAAGGTTCCTGGAAATATAAAGTATTTCTCGCTGATATATTATAGGAGATACAATTATTATACGATGCTATTAAATAGACATAAAAAAGTTTCCAATGATTAAATTTTAATATATTCATGTGAAGCAAAGATTTGCATGAAAAACTTCGGAATAAATCCCAATGTATATTTAATATGAGAACAGTAAATGTATTGTGGTTAAAGTATTAATAAGAAAACATTGAACTAAACGACCAGTAATGCTCGGAGTCACAAAATCAACTTTAAAGAGAGGGCCTCGTTTTAAAAACACATTTTACTTTCAGTGTTTTGTGTTCGCATATATAAGTTATTCATCTCTTCTGCGTGCCGTGAGCTTTTTCACTGGAGTCACATCCATGCCCGAGGTAATGGTGTAGAAAAAGGAACTGCCCTTAAATAGCACAAATAGTAAATCTGAAGAAAATAGTACAAAATCCTATGTTAAAGCTGGACTAGAATCGATACAGATCTGTTCTCATTTCGAATTTTATTCCATAGAGAAGAAATAGGGTTGGCGTTGGTTTCCTAAAAACTGGGGTGACCGTAAAAGAAAGTACTACGAAGAAAGTAATGAGTCATTCATTAGTGATGTCTCGTTAGTGTGTTTTTCGCCTTGAAACTGACTCTTTGCCTATCAGAAACAAAACAAACTATGTAATATTGTAACATATGATAACCTTGAGCGACTCTTGAACTTTGATCTTAATCTAGAATCACGTTCTAGCCTTTACTTAAACTTCATATTCTAAGCATTAAAAGCTTAATATTCTTTATTGGGATTTATCCTGTAAACATTAGGAGCATAATACTCTTTGCGGAATTCATATTTTAACCACAAGGATCTTAATACTGTAACGCTTAGGAACCTTATATTCTAACCTTGTGGAACTTCATGTTCTAATCACAAGGAACTTCCTGCTCTTACATCGTCAAACTCTATACTTTAAACTTGTAGAACATCATACTCTTATATTGTAGAACTCTACACTCTAATATTGTAGAACTTCATATTCTAACCTTGTAGAACTTCATACTCAAACCTTGTAGAACTTCATACTCAAACCTTGTAGAACTTCATACTCAAACCTTGTAGAACTTCATACTCTAACCTTGTAAAACTTCATGCTCTAACCTTGTAGAATTC